ATTTGAGTGTATCCTGCGCCTTGGGGCTTGTGTTATTTGTTTTTTCCTGTACCCTCCTCGCTCTCCTTTTTTCTCTGTAATTCCCTGTTCTCTTCCAATATCATGCAACTATAAACGTAATTTCTCAAACCTGACTTCTCGAGAACTGAAAAAAGAAAGTCTGATATTTGTTTTTTGGCTCCATTCTTTTAGAAGCCATGTGTGAAACTTTTAATGCATTCCACCGCCATAAAGTCTAGAGAGCACCAAGCACCATAAAATGTCCCAATAAAGAAAAAAATCGGTGTCTTTTCACTAACTGCTGTAATATGGTACCACTCAGAATACACAGTACTCTTTCTTTGCAGTATATCAGAAAGAGCTGCAGTTGCATCACAAGCAGACACCTCCAGTTTCCCACTTTTTGAAGCAACACAGTGTACAGAAAGACACAGACCTGAATTCTTGCCTTGCACTTTAAGTAAATCATTTATTTAATGGGACAGTTTGGATGTGAGAATGTCATTTTTATTGGACTATTTTAAATGTGCAAGTGAAGACCCGCGAGCAGGACTGTCCTTTTTTCTCCCTATGTCTGCAGATTCCTCACATAAAGTCTCTCTCCATTATTCAAAAGAAATATCTAATATTCATACCTAAATGAAAGCTGTTCTATAATGTAGTGTGAAAGAGGGGAAAGAGACAAGGGACAAGGAGGAAGAGCTGCAGGTCGCGAGTGTTTGTATGTGTGTGCGTATAAGTAAAAAGGGTAACTAGAGGAATCAGTCAAAGGGAAGAAAAACTGTGCAATGTTTTCCAAAGTGGTCAAAGGACAATCCTCACCCACGTTTTGGGCAACAAAGTAAAACAACCACATGTTACTCTGTGAGAGATATAAGTGGCTGAAGACTAAATACTCACAAAGAAGCTGTTTTGTTATCTTGGAAGTTGTCTGGAGAAAAAGAGATAATTTCTTTTTTTTTTTTTTTTTTAAAGAAAGGACAGATTGACAGCGCTCCTCCCATTCATCTCTGCTGCATGTCAGTTCACACTGTGTGTGATGTAGGGCAACGCTGTCTCGCTACAGCGTGTCTCAGTTAAGGGTCATATTCTCACCATTCTTTCCTACACGCCTCAATGACTTCATCAGCCATCCTCCACCTCCTCATCATCTGCCCATGTGTCGCTTTTTCTCAAACGCTCACTTCTGTCTTAAGGCCTTTTTTTTTCTGTCTTCGTGAGTCTTCTCCTCTCCGTCAATTCCCATCGGTTTGCCCCCTCAAATCTTCCTGTCTGGCGCTGTCTGTCTTTGTCAAGTGTATTTCTCTTCTCACTGAAATCTGTTTGTCGCTTAATCAGTTCACCCAACTCTTTCCATCCCAGCTACTGTTCAGGCTAATTAAGCACAATTCAACCTCCTCCCTAGATTAAATCTAAATCGTGCTTTCGACTCAACTTTAAGTCTTGATAGACAAAAACGCACTCGGTGTTGACAAGTTTAACAGCACTGCAGCTCGTATGAACACAAAAATGTTAAAAAGCAAGCTTTTAAAATGACCATGTACTCTCTAATGCTAGCTTTGTCAGGGCAATAAACCAAAACAAGCTTAAAGACACTCAACATTTCAGTAGTGCTGAAGGGCCACTATGAGCAATACTTTTACAATTTAATTCAGCCATTTGATTGACCTTTAAACTAGAAAAATATGGGTGATTGTAATGTGACTAAACATTACACATTACACAAACACATGGAATGAATAACTTAAAGTCTTGGGAAATAAGGAGGGAGAGCAGCAGTTTAATCTGTAACATTGCCTCTGCTTTTGTCAGACTCCTCAGATCTTCCAGATTAAATCATCTAGGATTACCACCAGTCAGCTGAGAAGGATATATATATATATATATATATATATATATATATATATAAATCAGTTAGAGCACAAGCACAGGGAGGTATTATGGTCGTAAGATACTAACTCTATTATTAATAAATCACAAAAAAAGATTGAAAATTGACAGCCTCCTTACCATTGCTTCCAGAAGTACACTTAAACGCCATTAGAGAAAGGGAGATGAAAAAAGGAATATAAAATATACAAGAAGTGGCAGGAGACCAATATCATAACAGAGGTTTGAATGAAGGTCCTTGAATGTTTCCCTCCAGGTTTAATTTCCTGGTTTCTTAGTTAACCGCTGGGTGATCCTGATGCTGTGAGAAAGACAGAAATCATTACGCCACAGAGAGGGGAGACTGAGTCACATAAGAAGGAAATAACAGAAAGACCGCGTGAAACACACCTCGATCTAAAGGAAAGTGCTAAACGAGTGTGAGTGAGTGGAGTAGAGACTGAGTGGAGGGTTAAGGCACAGATGAGGAAGCAGAGAATCAGGTCAAGAATGAGAAAGCCTCACTACTGGGGCTGCACGACAGTCATTTAAATGTATGCATGTTTAAGAAAAAATGAAAATAGCCCGAGGGCAGCCTAATCTGTAAGACAAAGTGAGTTGACATTTTGTGTGTGTTTGCCCACAAGGAAAAGATAAGAAGCTGCTGACAGGCTCGAAAATAGCCGTGTAGGAATGATGGGCTCAAACAAACAACATGCCCCGTCTCTCTCTGACCTTCACTCTCTCTCTTTTCTGATTGATCTGCCTTTCCCTACAGTCTCTCTCTGTTTACTTCACTTTTTTAAAGCTTAATCTTAATTCTGGTCACTCTTGTTTATCTCGCTCTATGTTTCATATTCAGTCTTTTCCGTGTCCATAGGGACTCAGAGCAGTGTACTTTGTTGGATTTTTTTCTCTCTCTCTTTGGGTAACTCAAAAACTACTCAGTTATGGATGGATGTATGGTGGATGGATGGACAAATGTCTGGCTGTTTGTACTGGGATGTGACTGTCGGGCTGTATAAGGGGAGACTGCTGTTTAACGATAAGAGCACAGGAAGGGTTGCCACAGCAACAACTGGGACAGGAAACAGCCTTAAGATATGTAAAAAATACTTGGATAAAATGGGAAGAGTAGCAGTATTACGACTTGAAACAGCGAACTCTTTTCTACAGATGAATCCAGCAAACAGTGTGCATGTTTAGCCTTGTAGTGGCAGTGACAGTGCCATGGGTCACATTAGCTGGTAGCCCTTGTTACTGATGACCTAAGCATTCTACTTTGTTGTTGTGAGGTTGACCTGTATAACATCACACACAGCCGATTCGCTTTAATCTGCTCTGTGTGATTACCACGGCACCTAATAAGGCTCATAGCCCACTAATGTTACACTATAATACCAAAAGTAATCTCTCACCCATCAAAATCATTGAATTCAGGTGTTCCAGTCACTTTCATGTCCACATGTGTATAAAATCAGACTGCTTCTACAATCATTTGTGAAAGAATGGGTCGCTCTCTGGAGCTCAGTGAATTCCAGCGTGGTACAGTGATAGGACGCCACCTGTGCAAGTTCAGTTGTGAAATTAAATACTAAGTATTCCACAGTAATCTGTTAGTGGTATTATAACAAAGTGGAAGCGATAAGGAACAACAGGAACTTAACTACAAAGTGGTGGGCCATGTAAAAGCTGACACAGTGTCTGACTGCATTGTGCCAACTGCAAAGTTCAGTTTGGGAACGGCCCCTTCCTGTTTCTACATGACTGTGCACAACTGCACAAAGCAAGTTTGGTGTGGATGAATTGGCCGGACCAGAGACCTGACCTCAAACTGAAGCGTGACCTGCGTTTGCAGAACGCGCTTCAGTTTAACAGCAGCTGTTTAACGATCCTCAGCTGGGAATGATGATAGCAAAGAAATTAGTCATGAAGAGACTGCTAAGAGGTCAGGCAGCAAAAACAGTCTTGGAGGTTTTGGTCATAACATTTCCTTTTAGCGCATTAATCCTGCATGATGAAAGATTATGCTCACCTGGCGTGTTTACCATGATTCAGGTAGTAGCATAGAGAGGACGGCAGCGGTTCAATTCTCAAGCTTCTATAGTTCACATGACAAATGGTTTTTGGTTAAACTACCACTGTGATAGATGTTTAAAAATAATAACACTTAAAGCAATGTGTGAATGTGCCTTTTAATATAGAAGTTTGAGCAGCATTAGATTTGGTTTCCTCAACATCTTTTTAATATTTTCTGAAGTTCATGTTGACTTCCTGGTTAGTTCTAATTAATACTTGTTATGATAGTAGCAAACTAAAGTAAACTAACATGTCCATAATGTAACTGTGAGCATATTATGTTGGAAAAACAACCACACAGACAACATTGCAAAATAATTTGTGCCAGCGTTACGAGAAGTGTTGATGAAACTGATGCAGTTAAATTACAAAATGCATTATTATGACAAAATATGCATCATTGTGTATTCAACGTAACATCTGTCCCTCAGCTACAGGAAATAAAGCAGCAATGACGAGATTTTGTTTTTCTATTTTTATTTTTCCCCAGAGTGAATGACGAAGCGGGAAAAAAAATAAAAGCTCAGTCCGATTATCCAGCTGTCCAAATCTTTCCCAAGTTGCTGGACTGCAGCTGAATCACCGGCTCAGAGCAAAGTGGAGGCGGCCCTGAAAAGTGATTGTGGAAAACTAATAAACACTCGATCGGCTCAATTATTTATCCCCTCCTGAACCTACTAGTGTTACATTGTTCTTAAAAATTGCATTTGCGGTTTCAGTGGTGACCTGTGTGACCTGTGTCCTGTGTGTAAGAAGGTATCTGACAGCTTCTTCTTATGTTTGCGTTTGCTCTTTGCAGTTCTCAGTGTTTCTCTACATCGGGTGTGAGGTATCCACTAAAAAACAAAGAACAAACAAAAAAAAAACCTGCCACAGATTTGCCATTGCTTTGCACAGGTGATCAAACAAGTCATTGTTCCATAGCATATCAAACCTGGGCAAAGACCTGATAAAATCATTTTTTGGCTGGGGAAAAATAACAAAACACAAAGCATTCCAGCCAATAATGCTTGAAATATTTTATTTATCAAAACCAACAGACTGATTTTTTTTTTAATAAAACAACAGAAAAAGACAATAAATTATTTAGGTAAAGCATACAGTTTTGTCTTTAATATATTTCGAATGGAGCAACAGAGGTTGACTTTTGTTCGTTAAAACAGACATCAGCAGCTTTTCTCTGAGTTAAAACTACTTAGCCACCTGTTGAAATTCTGGGAAGGGAAACTGAAACAAATCTCTTTGAAAAGTACGATAATCTCAAATGTTCCCAAAGGCCCTCTGTTTGTGTTTGATCTAAGAAACTAGTTAAAGTTTTACGCTGAGATACATGTGATCTCATATTCAAGAGCTGTAGGAAAAAACAAAACAGCTACATGGAAAAAAGAGCATGTCACTGGAATGTGCTGATAACAGCAGCAAACTGGCAGACACAGGATGCACACGCTCACATACACACACACACACACACACACACACGGGTGCACAACCACAGGTCCTGCTACTTTTATAATACATCAATTTGCATGTTAAAACTATTCCTTTATTTTATATGCATGGTCCAGAAACTGCAGCAGCCGATGTCCTTTTGCGCTCTAAAAAACAAACCTCACTACTGTTGGTTTTAAAGATTCTGCTTAAGTTGGATTTATTGGAGAAAGTTAACTTGAGTCACTTGTGTTACTTCAACACAAACTATGCATTTAAAAACGTTTTAGCCTAAAATGTTGACCTGGCAAAACACAGTGGCACAGTGGCATGGTAAGAAATAAGGTCCTGGCCATCTAGTCAGGGCCTTTGTATGTGGAGTTTGCATCTTCTTTAAGCGTCTGCGTGGGTTCTGTGAAAGTACTCTGGCCTTTTCCCACAGTCCAAAGACATGGGTCAGGTAACATAACGAGTAGTTTAATGATTTACTTTCTCCTGGTTATAATTAAGTAACGTACTGCATTACTTTTAAGAAGTGTTTTGTGTAATATGTGTAAACATTACTTTTTGAGTAATGACCCCAACACAATGACAACAGTGGGGAAAACTGAAGTTAAATTCATGCTGTGTGTCGGCCACACAGCATGAGTTTAACTTGTAATGTCTCTGATATGCTGATTAGTGATGGTGATGACTCTAAGCAGAGTCAATGAGAACCCAATGAGAATCGATAAGAAAAACAATTTTCTGAGTGTACCAAAAGTCTAACAATGAAATAACACATAGAAATTAAAAAATATATATTAGCGATTCATAGATGATTTGGCTTTTGTTTAAAGAAAAATCATAATTTACGTTTAGATGTTTGTTCTGTAAAGTATCTGTAGTCACTTCTAGTCCCTTCTACATACACCTGTACACTTTTCCAGCAGAGCCTCAGAAATCTGTCATTTTACCTAAACTTACCCAGATTTGTCATCTATTAATAATAATTCAGTGTTACAATGTGAGCGTTTCATTTAATTTCTAGCTTTGCTGCTTTGACTCTCCATTCAACCGACAGGTACACACACACGCACACACAGTCACATGCTGAGCATTCACATCCTTGGATCCGCTGCCAGCTCTTACAGACTGTTGGTAACCCTCCACCCTTTAAACAAAAGGACCTCTTCCTGCGCTGCTACAGGGGGACTGACACGCATACACACACTCAAGTGCTGCTTGTGTTATGAGCAGAGATCAAGAACATCGCTCACGGTAATTCCCACAGATCTCTGCAAACTTACAGGGCAGCGTGTGAGACTGTGACACACACGAGCATTTAGAAAATACAAGAAAAAATTTGAATCTATCATAAAAGCATGGCGCTCCTCTTATCCCGACGTGCTGGTGATCTACAAATAGAAGGCTCGATTTCCCCTTTTCCATCAGCCTCCTCTCCTATAAACTTCCTGTTTCCCTCTCTCTTTCCTCTGCTGTGCGTTCAGGGTCTAAGTGTCGCGGTTTTATCCGCGTTAGCAGAATTCCGCTTAGCAGCTGGAATGCCAGGAATGCTTGGAAAATTGGGCACGGGGCAGGAGCCGGATCTGACATTTTCTTTGATGTGTTCGACTCGGAGGCAGCGAGAGAGAAAGAAAAGAAAGACGCATGAGCTGTGTGGATGGACGGACAGATAACGAGGAGCGTGATATCCAGACAAAGTAGAAGAAGCCTCAGGATCCTGTATAAATAACTACAGTTTTTTGGGTTTTGGAAGCCTGGAGTGGATGTGTGTGCATGTAAATGTGTTAATGTGGAGGGCTGTAGTTAGCCTGGAGGTTGTAGTTCATATCAAGATAAAGTGTTATTTTTGTGTAAACTTCCTTCAACCCATCCCCCCCCCCTTCTGTTTCACACTCACTCATCTCAGCATGCTCCTGGCAGTTCCCTGAAGTTTCTAGAAACAGTCTTATTTAAAACAAAAAATGCAATAAAACATGTGAAATAAAAGTAAAAGACTTCTTTTCTAGGCCTTAGAGAAAAATTCAGGTTCAGTTCAATCAGGCTGGCCTCCCTTAAAATCCTTTCTTCAAAATGTAAATTTAAGTTTACAACAATGACGTTTTAAAATTTGGGAGGAAAGAAATTGGATTGAGTTTAATGGGGATTTCTTTGGAAGACGTGAACACTCATACCATACATGTAATGTTTAAATGCAGCACGAACAGTGAAGACAGAAATACCAAGTTGCAGGAATGGTAAATAGCAAACATTGGGATGGGAGTTGTGTTTACAGGATTTACAGGTTTGGCCCATAGACAGAGGAAAGGTAAGTCATGACGCTAGCTGCAGTTTACAAGTCAATTGTTACCTTCTTCTTTGCTGCATGTTTGTCAGCGGTGCTATTATTATATGAAGTCCATTGCAAAATAGATAGAAAGGACAACTCGTCTAACAGTTCCAGATGTGCCCACCTCAGCGAGGGGGCTGGGAGGGACACGCGCACTCACACTGTTCATGATGTGAGAGGAAAATTTCATCAATGACCCAGCGAACCTTTGGACTCTGATGGCGCTGATACCGAATGGGGTCTGGAGCGTACTTCAGCACCTAGAAGAGGCACAGAAGGAAAAAAAATGGTAAGGACGCAGAATGGGAATGAAAATGGGCACAAATTATTTCTTGTTTTCCGTCTCGTTCCCAGACGTTGTTTTGTGTTGTCAAGTGATTGTATTTGTTGAATCCTGTTTGAATATAAAAGAGGAAATATCAAGAGGAAGCACACCAGTCGTGACAAAACACTACAGGAGTTCAACAACAACAACAAAAAAGAGGAACTGCTACCTGAGAGGATTTGAATATGTCAGAAAACTTGGCTTTGAAGCAAGTGGGGCAGGTCAAAAATGTAGATTACAAAGTCAATGATGATGGGGTAGTCATGGAAAATCATCTTCTCCTGGCTTTTCGGGAGTTTCTGTTCTCCCTGTTTATTGTAAGTGGCTACACTGAAAATCTGTTCATGTCTTAACCTGTCTTCTTATTTATGTTCAGAGTCTTTGGGAGCAGGAGCTTTTCCCATTATCAGGTAATAAGGAAAACACAAGTTACCAAAAGAAATGTTTACTGGGAAATATATAGCACTGAAATCATAATTTGATTTAGTCACCATTTGCTGCATTTCCTGTTAATGTAAAAATACAGCAAAGGTACAAACTGTTCCACAAATGATGCAGCAAATTTGTTTTCCAAAGCTCAATGAAAGAGACGCGACCAATGATTAATGTCAGGACTTCCCAGAAGTGAAACGTTAGTGTGAGTAATAACGTGTTTCTAGAGAAGTTAAGTCACTGAAGGAAGCAGCTACAGGTCCGTGATTACCGGCAAGGAGAAGAGTGAACAAAGGACGTCACAGTGTCTGTACCCTACTCTCTCTTAGACACACAAACACACTCATGAGAACCCAAACTGCAGTGGTTCTGTACTCTGCAGTGCAATGTGCCGACACAATACACTTTTTTTTCCCTTTTCACACACATAGCACCATTACAACCCCAAATCCCACTTTTGTCTAAACTGTCATTGTATGATTTTTAACAGTGAGAGAAAGAGAGACAGTGAGAGAGAGCCCTATGGACTATGTTTCAATAATGATGCTATGCAAGAACAAAGACACAAAGAGATGGAGGGAAGTGACAGAGAAGAATGAATGGCAGGCTTAAAGAACAAGAATGGTGGATTGCAAAGGGATAAATTGAAAATGGGAATTGGGTAGAATGAAAGGATGATGGAAACCCAGAGAGAGAGAGAGGAAGGGAGAGACAGAATGCTTACAATGCATGGAGATATGGAGAGATTAGAAAGAGAAAGACAGAGGCGGCATACAAAGCACTGAGAAGAGAAGTGGGGAGAAAGCGCGAGACTGATGGTGCATTGCTGTTTCATTGTTGATGCAGCCCTCGCTACTACTCGCCCAATTTCTCCCTGCTTGTTCCTCACTCTGCATCTAAATCACTTCCTCTCAGTCCTCTCAGTCCCTCTTTCATTCGCTCACTCTCTTCCTTCCGCAGCATCGTGTACCTAGCACGTAGTGGAACTTTTAAATGTCGTTCTCGTGCTTGAATAAATCTGCTTCACCTTTCTGTAACATTTCTGTAACCAGACTCGCTGCACCATACAAAAAACAAATCTAAATTAATGATTTTTGTAGCCTAATTGATGTTTTTTTGTTTGGATTTGGGAGTGCTGATAAAAAATAATTATAAAAAAAAATAAATAATAAAAAGTCCTATCAGTGTATTGCCAGCTCAGCATTTCACTGGGCTTAAAATGTTGCTATGTATCTGAGGATTTTTATATATCTGAGTAACACAAAGAAAAAAAAGTCTACAATGGGCCTGTAATTTGATATGATTGATGTGATATTAGTCTTAGTTCTGATATATTACATTTAGCAATAAAAGTGTATTATAGGAATGTTTTTCTTTGTTTGTAATAGATGCAGAAATGTTCTTACAGAACTACTGCAGATAAATCTCAGTGCTTAATGATAAGTTCTGTGGAACTAGCTCCCTGACACCCTCTCAACCTTTGCAGTTGAGTTAGGTCTAGGCTGCTGGGGGGTTTCCCATGACGCACTGAGTGTTTCTTCTTCACCTTCACCTTTCTTCTTTCACTCAATACGATATCATACAATTGTTGGGATTTTCTCTGTATTTTATACCTTAGAATGTAAAGTGCCTTTAGGCAACTGTTGTTGTAATTTGTGTAATTTGGTGCTACATGAATAGAATAAAGCTGAATTGAATTGAATTTAAATGAAGCAATGAGCAGAAAGGGGTGAATGGAGTTGAAAAAGATTTCACAATTTTCATATATATATATATATATATATATGCGCCGTTTGTATTACTGGGCTTTGTGAATATTACAGTACATTTGTAATTATACATTCTGTCCATTGACTCATTCATCGCCATGTGTGACCAAGATTAATATGATTTGTTGCTCCCTCTCATGTTCAAAGTGAGCTCTCACTTTTCACAGCCAAGTCTGAGAAGTGGTTAAGACGGATGACTGGAGTAACACACTGTTAGTATTTAATGAAGACAGCAAAAGTTTGTGAAGTGTGAGACATTTTAAGGCGATTTTTTGCTGAATTCATTTTCAGACTTTTTAAGAAGAACCCTTAACGATCTCGTGTACAGCTGCAATATGCACAAACATACATGGACAAATATTGAGTAGATGTCTTACTTTACCCCATTAAACCGTTTATGATTTGAACTATTGTTTTTATGGACAAGAAACATTTTTTTTCTTTTGAAACAGAATGTATTGAAAACAACGGTTTTACTAACAAACAGTGTAATGGTTGTTACAATTTGCTTCTTCTGGTGGACTGATCTGGTTCCATCATAGTTCAACAGTAACAGTAGCAAAACCATCTCTTACACCAAAAGTCTCAAATATCACATGAGCCATTATGGAAAACATCTTTGAAAGGCATTGCTCACCAGATAGATGCAGTAGAGGGAATATTTAGCAAATTTCCCTTTCACACCCTCTAATTTTTCTGCTCTTTTTCCCCATATAAAAAAGATTTCTGCTGGTTTACTGTGAGATGAAAATATCTTAGTGTGCCTGTGTGGGTGTCTGTATAGCTTGCATGTCTTTTCTTTCTTTCTTTGTGATGCTGTGTGGTCTGGAAATCTGTAATCATCTGAACTCTGTGTGAGTGCTACCATGGTGCAAAACCTACCTCGTGCAGTTTGAGCGTTGTTTTGGAGGCCTGACAGGTACAACCATTATTCCAGTTAGTAGTACCACAGCCACAGTTGCCCCCGCAGCGTTTCACCAGCAGACATCGAGGGAAAAAGACGGCGTTGGTGGTCTTCAGTTCTTCTCGCAAGTTCACAGAGTAGTTGCGAGGAGTACAGCTGTACCACTTGACATCGTTGTGAAGCCGGTTCAGATCAACTTGACAATAATGCAGAAAAGTATCAAATTAACAAACGATCACATTTTTTTCCCTCTCGCTTTGTGCTTTTTATCAAGACTTACTAATTTTTACAATAGCAAATTACCTTCTCTTTTTTTAATCTGTTGTGTTTTATGGTATGACAGAAATACACTAAGGAAAATAGCTCTTTTTATACTGTGTTACACTGCAAAGTTCCCTTTAACACTAAGATTGAAAGAGACAGGTCAGTTATTGCTTTATGTGATGATAAAGACAAATGTGTGGGACAGTGGAGGCACAGAATGAAGAATGGCGTGGAAGGACGGGAGTGATTTACATTGAAAATATCCTTAATATTGACTGAGTGAAAATGGTTGAGAGGTGGAGACACTATTGGTTATGGGGACAACTTCAATGACAAGTGACTGTAGAGATGGAGAGAGGATTGAAAGAGACGCAAAGATGAAGAAGGGGGGACAGTAAAAAAAGCAGGGGGCATTCATTGATTGAAGATCACAGCCTTTCTTTGTGTGATCACTTTGAAGAAAAATCACCTAGTTAGCACACACCGGACCTGCTGCAATGACTCAAAACTAATTTTGAGGGAATTAAGGGAATTATTTGACAGGTGGACAGAAAATAATTAATTAAAGCACTTGTTGCTAAAGAGCTCGACTAGAATCTTTATACATTTATTATTCACATAAGTCTGCTCGGTGAAAATGTAGAAGGTGAATATTTGTTCTGATGCCAACAAACGACTGTGATGAAAAGATTGATTTGTAATGTGGTTAAGCAGAGAACTACAACAGTTATCTCAGTTGTGTACAGACAAATGAGAGAAATGAAACCGACACTCGTGTTGTTTTGTCTGTGAAAAACAGCACGAGTGTTTTAATTTAATCTGGGAGCAATTCAGAGAGACCAAAGGCAGTTTGAAGGCAAAATGATAAGAGGAAGAATAGAAAAAAGACAGCAGAAGCAGAGCAACAATCAGTGGTGGTTTGATTGCGCACTGATTGTGGTCATCAGCAGAATAATAATCATTGCACTGTCCATACCAAGGGCAGTGAATCTTTACAACACACGCGGCATAGAGATCGTAAAGTGGATAAGAACACAAGCTCTTTTTTATTTTTTAAAGAAATGAATACACAGTTCACTTTGATTTACTTATCGCATTGATAAAAGTAGATGTAAAAGTTGTAAATGTTTATTCAGTGGTCTCCTAGAGTTTGCTGGAGTCATACTCGAGTACCATGGCTTCAGCACTTACTATACCACAGTCCGATGTTCCACTGCCTGCAGAAACCACTTCAGGGACGCATGACTGAGTCGGAGCTTCGCAAAAGCAACATAACAAGAAGATACTGCTGATACGTTCACCTTAATAGTAGAAAGCAACTGTCCTCCCTGAAAAATGCTTAAGCACTCAAACCCTAGCAGGGCTTTTGTCCATATATATGTACTTGAAACAATTTAAAGGTAAAACTGTCAGCATTAGCAAAGCTTCATTAGCAGTTCAGGTAGTGCTGTAACACCCCCCCCCCAAAAAAACAAAAAAACCCCCAAAAAAACACTGGCAGCAAGACAGCATGGCTGCCATTATGAAAATGCGAGGAAAGATTTTATCATTTCCTTTGGCAGTGCAGAGACAAGGACAACTGAAGGTAGATAGCGCTCTATATATATTGCATTTACAACACTGATGATGGTTGTTTTAGGCCTCCTTTTTCAGTAAAATGGTAATAAGAATTTAAGAACAGACTTATGTGTTATATAGAAAAGAAATGCATCAAATGAAAGCTATCTCTAGTTGAGGTGCTGCACACGTTTGCCTCTTCCTTTAAAATCCTCACATTCTGTCTTACAGGCAGCTGATATTTGCACATCTGCATCAGACTAAATGAAAAGTGGATTATGTCAGCATTTGTGTGAGTATTAGCAGGTTAAATGAGGACAACTGTGTGACAATATTGGATAAGTAGAGAAGATAGTGTGAAATCAGTTTAAAGCTATCTGCTCATTTGCATAAATCTTATTATACATATAAAAATGTCAGGAAATTAAGAATAATGATCATTTGCTACTCAAATTCTTTCTAACAAGGGAAAGAACTGCCATGTGGAGCCTGGCACCTCGCAACAAAAAGACTCCTGGTTTGAACCATCTGGTTGGATGGGGTCTTTTGTGTGTCTTTATGGGTTTCCTCTGGGTGGTCCCCGGTGCTCGAACATGCTTGTCAGGTTAACTGGTGATTCTAAATTGGCCCTAGATTGTGGATGGGAGGGTATCAGGTTTTCTGTCAGTCCGTATTAGCCCTGTGATGAACTATCCATGGCGTATCCTGTCTGTTTCCCCCTATGACAAGTGGATAGGATCTAGCCTCCCACCCACAACCCTGAATTGGAGAATGGTCAAGTGTGGATACAGCTGAACTAAATGTATCTTCATTTACAACCATATTATAGCCTCTATTCCTTGTCCATGCTTGCAAATGACAGTGAACCCATCATGTAGGTAGTCTGCGATTTTACTAAAGATAAAAAAGACACATTTTCAGCAAGGGATCATTTCATGTCTGGTGACAGAATTGTGAGGTAATGTTTCTTTAGATTTTACAATGTGACAGCAGCACATTCAGACTTATGCTACTGCATTGCCTCTAATGACCAAATCCAGTAACCGGTAAGTGTGTTTGTGTACTTTGGGGGTAAGGCACATGCTTTTACGGTTGATGGTGAAGGCACGGGGTTCTTTAGGGTTTTTTTATGCTGTGAGCTTGCAGGTGTATATGTGTGAGACTTGCAGGGCTGAGCTTGTGTCTGTTTAAGGAGAATGAGTATAATCCCAGAAAGGCACTGGTGTGGAAAGGGGAGGGAAAGAACACATTGACAGATGAGCAAGCAACACTCCAAGAATGACTGTGTCACTCACACAGTATCAACGTGAACACAGCATAGCGTCTGAGCACGTGTGGAAAATCATAAAACATATTCTGCTCCAGTGTTTACCCCTCAGTTTCTTTGAAGATTAGTTTATTTGTATTAGCATTACGACGACGTATTTTGAAATTATTTATGTTTGAGGCTGAATGTGTGTGAGTTACTTTACGGACCTGGAGCCGACCCAATTAATATTATCATCTGGCTCGCTGTCCTTCATGAGAACAGAGGTGGGTGTCTTTGTGTGTGTGTCTTAATGAAAGCAAAGCCAAGCTGCTGACTGTGGCAGATTTCTGCTCCACTGCACAGGTTGAATTCCCAATTAGAGAGAGCTATACTGGTGTATCGAAGACCTGCAGCATCTATGCAGCTCTAGGTAGTCCTGCAAAATGCACTAACTGCCCCTACACAGAGCCTCGTCCTTGTGCCAATCCAGCATGCACACGCACACGTGCACTAATAAATGAGATAGATTTGCTGTCAAGTACAAATATTTACTAAGGAACAGGACAGCCCTCGGGTAGAAAGACTGAAACAGGAGAGAGATGGCTCAAAAGCACTGCAAATGCTGCAAGCTTGAACATTTTTTTACAGACATGCACACGCAAACACTCCCTTTCTATTGTGTATGGAATAAGCATATAAATTTTCATATCTAGTCAAAGACATCTGCAGTCTGTATCCCCAAGGATAAAATCTGCTGCTTGAATGACTGCAGGTCGCTGGCATTGACTTCACAGTAAAGAGCTGCGTTGTTCTGTCTCGCCTTAAACTTGTCACTGACTCACTATAAACCCTCCCAAAGGGCAATTCGATGATGCAACAACTTACGGCAATACTTTTGCACATAAAATGGAGCACCCCCCGAAAAAAAAGATCTCTGGTATAAACAGAAAAAATATTTTAAAGTTTCCTTTTTCAATCATAGTCAATCAGACTTCTCTTAGTTGTCACCGTTACTTTGATCACTATGCTGGAAGTGCATGTGCGTGTTTTTCCTGCTGTTATATATTCCTTCCTAAAAGCCAAATTAAGTATTAATGCACTCACCTACTAGAAAGCCTAATGTTACAACAGATCTCTTTCTTAAGTGACAGAGGCTGGCTAATACACCTTTTCATGGGATGTCTTTGGCTGTCATCTGTGCTATATTTGAACATCCAGCAACAATTTTGCTCCATCAAAGTTATTACATGACTAATTTCCTTCAAATTACAGCAGCACAGACTTCTTCTGCAGTGGTGTAGCACTGAGTTTTATGTATAGCTCGGTATGTTAGAATGGGCCTCCTGCTGTTTGGGTCTGTCTGGGTCAGCACAAGGCTTCGCGCTCTTCCCCTCCCCTTTAAGCTACCAGAGACCGACCGCAGCGGCACGAGGAGAAATACTGTGCACGCAGCAGAGATTTTGAGGATCACCATCTGTAGAACAATAAAAAGGGATGACTTTCATCCTACGGCATCAAATGAAGCGAAGCCTGCGAGGTGGTTCAGGAACTGCACTGCGTCACACAGCACACGCAATAAAAAGCCTCGTCGTCCTCGTGTCATATACCAGACGCCCTGTTTCAGCTGCAAGATTTCCCATCTCTGTTTCTGACATGTCAGCGCCACATTTGTCTGCTCTTTCAACCCCTCCACCACCCCAGCATCCACTTGTGTGCTGACTGTCTGACTGAAGATAAACTAATTCAATATTACTACTAGTTAGCTGGTCTCATAATAACACATAAGTCTACAAAGACACTATATAACGAGCAGTGGTGGGAATAACGGCGTTACAAGTAACAGCGTTACAAGTAACAGCGTTACAAGTAACAGCGTTACAAGTAACAGCGTTACTAATTACTAATTACTATTTGTATCTTTACAGCGCCGTTACCGTCACTAACAAGAAAACACGGTGCAGTTACTATTTTTTAACAAACAGTCGGTTGAAGCTGTGTTCAGCTTACCGCATCTTATATCAGTTGCACGGAAGTAGCTGTAAGTAATCTGGGTGCTACAGCTTTAAGCAGCTGCGCGCACTCCTGCGGATGGCAATCACTTTCTGGCAGATGATCACTTTTTAGCACAACACCTGGAGCTAAGGGGGCAAAACAATCGCATGAGTGCGGCTGTTTGACTGAGGAAGAATAAAGTAGTCGTGGTAAGCCAATCACATGACCACTTCAAGATGACAAAGCAACAAGGTGATAGATACCAGTTTTTAAATTGTGTTGATAGGCCACGTAAAACCAGAGTCATGATTAACAATATATAAATATAACCTTAATTTGCGCATCTGACCTCTTCTTTAAGGTCAGATAAGGTCAAACTTTTATAAAATGTAAAACTTACCTTTATTATGTCTGCCTGCCAGGTGATAGGCCCTGGATCTATAATGTATGTGTGTTTGAGTGTAGATGCTGTCCAGGTCCTGTCTCCATGTGTTTGGGTTGAGGGATCTGAGAAGCTGCTCCACAGTGTCAAAGGCAGCTATGGTTCTGTCTAAATCATCGAGTGAAAAAGGTGCCTGCTCTGTGACCGCCGCTGACACCTTCCCGCCACCACTGTCCTGCAAAGGTCAAAAGTAAAACTAACTCTATAATTCTATTTAAATTATCCTAAATTCCACAGTTTATCCTAAATTTCCACAGTTAAAGGATTACAGCTGAAGCAACAGCCATAACTTTGGAGCTGTTGTTTGTTTCTGATCAGAATTCTGTACAGATTTCTGAAAAATCTGAATAAACATCAGATTTATAAACTTAGCAAAATCTGGATTTTAAGAAACTCCATTTACTATAATGTAAATGTTCACTCTTTACACACACAGCGCTTCTGCTCAAATGAATGAGTGCATCCAGGCCTGTAAGCGATCTTGAGTGTGAGGCTGACCTTGTATCAA